AATCATAATCATTATACAATCATTCATTCAAAGTACATTTCTACTATTTACGCATCACTATTCACACATCACTATTTATTGTATCACTGTTTACGCGTCACTATTGGAAGTCTCTCCATTTTCCGGGTCAATAACCTGTGGCTCCTCACTCTCCAGTACTTCCTCAACATTCCAATGGCTACCACAGCTCTTAAACATTTGCATTGCCTCACACACTGGAACTAAACTAACATCAAGCCATGATGCTAATACTGTACCCACACACAGAGAGTCATCTGAGAGTGCATGGCAGAATTGAGAAACCATGTGGCTCCCTGCTGAGAATGATTGCTTGGTGTGAACTGAGGTTGCTGAATGTATGTCAGTAAAGGTACATAGAATAGCTTAGATGTAATTGACCAGGCATTGAACCATAATCCAGACCCATTTGTGCAAGATCCGGGGACTTCATTTGAACAGATTCCCAGTAGGAGAGAGGGTCATCAAGATCAGAAAGTGGTGGACTTTTGATGTATTGTTTGAAGGCATCGTCAATGGCTTCTTGTGAGGTGAAAAATAATTCCTCATATGCATTCTTGAGGGAGAAGTAAGACACTTGTTAATTGTCTAACAAAAAGCTTTTCTCACCTTTGGTTTGCTCCTATGTTCTGATGACAATGAAGTGGAGCCAGAATTATAAGGCCGGTATTTTGTCTGCCAAATTGTTTGGGCAATCTTGGTGGTGGTCTCGATCCATTCCTTGCACCATCCATGAGCTTGGAAGTAACTCAGCTTATACTGTGGATGCATGACTATATCATCATTAGTGAAGCTACTAGTGGATGCAGGAGCTGATGTAAATGCTCAAGGTGGTTATTTTGGAAATTCCCTTTTGGCAGCTGTACATGAAGGAAATGAAGGGATTATGGTAAAAAAGACAGGTGTATGTATGCTGGAATTTTTTCCGAGAGGGTACAGGGCAAGTATCAGACAGGAACTTCAAAGAGGAAAGAAACAAGAGCACAGATTAGTGTGAACTCATGATCACATAAAATTAGAGCCAATCACTCTATGCATAACTTACCATATATGTATATTGATTGATTGAGAGTAGGCTGACATCCATAAGATTTAAAAAATGGCACAACTTGGATAGGAACAAGCACAGTATAACTTTCAAGTTTTGATGACGGAATCTTGCAAGTTACTACAAAAGGAAACCCGAGACTTCATATACTTATAGGCATTTATATTAAAATTGCCTTATACTCTTATACAGAGTTATAGAGACAACGAGACATGACGAGGTGGAAGGTAAGTTGGGATTGCAGGCTTGTATCAAGTCAACGTTGATGCAAATGGCCGCCCACCGAAGTTCTATATAGGGTCGAGTTCGGGTCAGCCTGATCTACGGCATTGAACTGGGGTATACGGCGTGTTCCGGCACTGACTGCAAACTGTCCGGCCCGTTGCCTGGAGTCTCTCATTACTATTCAAATGCGCCATAATATAGGAATTACTTCGTCATTATTAGATCAATGAACTTAAGTATAGGAACCAAGAAAACATGAACAATGTACACTGTACCCCACCAATTTAATCAAATAAACTCTGACTACAAACTTTTCAACATTGAATCTGCTCGAGAAAACCCTTGACATATAAAACACAGCTCGCTATCATGAGCCGAATTACATTCATTTTTAATGATTTAGTCCAGCAGTCCGTAACATAAAACCTTCACACGTAACATTCTCCCACAGGATGTATCATGCGTTCCCAGCATGTAAGATAGGTTTTTGTCCAAAGACTGACTTCATATGCTAAACTACTGATGTGTACATCTGTACATTGATAACGCCCAGGTTGAATGATTTGCAACAGAAATCAATCGTAGAACTCTTTTGTCCTGCACTTTTTGGGTTCTTCTCTTTCAGATTGACGGCTAACATGTACAAGTATCATCGAGGTGTTCAAGGTACCTGACCTACGGGTTTAAAGGTACGAATTTGGATGAGCAACGTGGAGACCACTGAGTCACGACCCCTATTAACATTTTACTTTCCCGCGCGAGATACGGTTTTCGACTAACGGAGTACCATCGCTTTTTCTTTATAACGTCCATGTACAAACTCTTGCCGCTCATGTCACGGATTTATCACTCTCGAGAGAGCTGTCAAAACCAAAGATTTACTCTATAACAACGCAAATGACCCAGTATCTCTTTGATACTTCGCAACTCTTGCTCAACTCTTGCTTTGGCTTTTTTCAGAAGTGCCAAGACCCAACTGAGAACGTTGCCGATCCTAATGCTGCACCCGACTACCCTCGCGTCAATGATATAGATAGGTCGGTCATCGGGGAGTTGAAAGGGATCTCAGTTGAGACGGATAAGTCTTGGAGAGATATGGTCTTAGATACAACACTGGCAGACACGCGGTCGCCAGCCTTTTAGCTCTGGAGAACAGCTGGCGGGATATATAAAGTTTTTGTTGTTGGGATTCCAACAACTTGTCCGATGGGGTTGTAGATAGCACATTACAACTGTCTTCTTCGAATTCAATGATGTACATTGACAATACAAAAGTAAGTTTGCACTGCCTATTTTTATTCCATTTTTATGATATTGATGGGGTGTTTCCGGGATCCTACACAGCGAGTCCTTGTTGTGAATTGATCATCCTGGCTCAACTCCGAGTGCCTTGGCCAGACCACGTTGCGGGAAAGATCTTCAATGCTATACTGGAGAACAAGAGAAATGAGAGTCAGCCCGCTCCACCCTGTCAATATCAAGCCATCATGATTCTGATACAGAGTTATAAGTAGCTTCTGAGATATGTATGTCAACGGGCTAATTAAGGTTGGTTTGGAGCTCAATTGCAATCGTGCCCAGCTGTTCCTGATGCTTGTAGCATCACAACACAAGTGCGATAAGCCCACTAGCGAATCAAGATGGACGTTCTATCTCAGTACTTTGCCACTACATCGTCCGGCTTGGCGACTATCATCATGTGTGAGAACGAGAACGATCCATTCTGAATGACTCTTTCTGAATCAGTTGTTATTCTATTGCCCGTAGTGATTTCCGTGCGTTCTAATGTGAGTTGACCTCTAAGTATCCTGTCTAGGGTGCTGATATCACAACCTCGGGTGCTCAAGTGCCCACCTGCCTTCCTTTTAATAATAACCATCAATCACTGCATTTTACCGACACAAATACACACAGCTTGCAATATATCATTTTCCGTCTTAATCGGGTTAGGGTTTTGATGGAAGGCGCTCAATGTTGACATATAAGCATGTGAACCATGACATTGATTGTTCCCCCAGCGAATCCCCGTTTCTCGACAACCACATCCCCCAATAGCCATGTCTGACCAAGAAACATCAGGTCCCCTCTCTGACGAAGATCTCGCCATCCTAAAGGAGTGGATCATTCAGACAGCTGTCGAGTTCTTGCTCTATGGTGTCTATGCTACGATTTCGCTCATCGCGCTCTACTTCTTGCTGTGAGTGTCTCGTTAACGTTATATCCGGGCCCACTTTCCGTGCATACAAGTGGTTCCTTATTGAGTTTCTGACGTATATTTTTACGCCCGTTTAACACGGATTGCAGAGCCAGCAATATCCGTCGTAACAAGACTTCGCTCGCTCTTTTCATTCTCGCTACATTTATGCTACTATTTTCGACGTCTATTATAGTACTCCAGCTGGAGTACATCTTGGTGCAAATCCCGTTGAAGGGCTATAATCCTCCCGACATGAACCATGTCTCGTCTCTCCTCAGGGACATGAAAATTTCGGATGATTTCTTCATTAGGTTGAATGTAAGATTTATTTCTCTCCTAGTATTTAAGTAAAACAGCCGCTGACCAACCTTCTGGCTCGGTTCCAGTTCCTGATCAGCGACGGTGTTTTGGTGTGGAGATCCTGGATCCTCTACCCCCGTAGATGGACGGTCAAGGTAGTGTTGAGCATCTGCATGCTTGCTTCTATCAGTGAGTTCTCACTCATGCAAACCTATTATGGACAAGTAGCTGACTGCATTAACATCACTTTTTTTTTTGACTAGTCTGTACGTTCGTCGACGCCGGAACTGGGACTATCAAAATACGTAGACAAACCGTCATTAATGACATTGTCACCGATGTCGAAGGCGGAGCGGAAACGCTGTTGATCACTCTTCCCCTCCTGATCACCAACATCTTTGCTAGCATCTTGATAGGGTACAAAGCATGGTAAGTACATCCAAGTCGCTCGTATGAGAAGGTCGTCTAAACGTATACGTAAATTCCAACAGGATTCATCGTCAAGACATCAAGGAAAATTTGAGCGATGACAACGCCAGAGTCAGCAAGGTCCAAAAGATTTTGTTGCTCCTCGTCGAGTCCGGGATGATCTATCTCATTCTTTGGGTACGTGTCACACTGTCAGCTCCCATCCTCGACAAATCTGTGCTTACAGTTCGGTTGTTTTTTTAGCTCGTCTACACGGTCATTTCCGTGCTGAACACGAGCAGCACCCAACATTCGTTCGAGACGTACAGACAGATCATGCCAATGCTTTCCGTAAGTATAAATGAATTACCTCGAGGTCGGGTCACAACTGACCAATAAAAATATAGGCTCTTTATCCAGTTCTCATCATCCTGCTCGCTGCGATCGAAGCGGGCGGGAAAGACAGGTCCAAGAACGGATTGTCGTTGTCTCAAACTATGCGATACGGAACGGCTGGTCCAGAACTGCCACGAGAAAAACCCAGAGTCCATCCTTCTCAAACTCGTTCTCAGGTCGTCACACTCTCGCCGGTCGCCTCGTCAGCTAGTGATTTGGGTCAAAACGGAGAAGAAGCGCAAGCTGAGGGGAGGCACCAGGAAAAATGAGTGCGCCGCTACCGCTGAAGATCTTTGAAATTTCGAAGGAAACCTTTATTTATGTTTTTACTTGCTTGTATATATGTATATATGTCATAATCCGCTTTCTTGGGGTCATAAAAAAATGAACACTACGTGGTATACATATAGCCCACCGCGAGGGTCGAACTCGCAGCCTTCAGATTTATCACCACCTCGCACAGGCTTAAAAGTCTGACGCTCTATCCGATTGAGCTAGGCGGGCAACAATTATAGTCCGCGCAGAATTGATCTGGCCTCTCTTGTAACCTTTGATCTGGTTTCCAACATTGACAAAAGCCCAGAGGAAGTATCATAGAGTATCATCTTCTGACATGTCCGAGTGACCGAGTCGCATTAGGTCGCATTTCAATGAGCATGACCAAGTGACTCCATGAACTTTGTAAGTTGTCACGTTACCCTTGTATTCGCCGTTCGGTCCCACTCTTAGCACTTCGCCGAAATCCTTTATAAGATCCCTGAAATGACGAAGAAGCCTTCTTCCCCCCACTTTCCATGTTCATATCAATTCTCTTGTGTCATAGCCTCGCTGCGTTTGCAAGCACTCAAGTACACGCGACACCTGAGCAATGGACCGCCCTAGGTCGTGATTTAGGTGGTCGTCTTCATACAGCATTACCACTCTCTTCTCCATGCTTTGCGACCGTGAATGGTGTAGATGTTGGAAGAAACGAAACGGAGTGTGCAGCGATACGCCAAGGATACACGTCGCCTTCCTTTAGATCACCGCTCTTTAGTCCTCGTATGTTTGTGAGTACTTACTTTCCGTTTCCGGGCTTCAAGAAAGTTGGGAACTTGGCCTTGACCTTATGCATCTTGTTTAGCCGCAATGGGAAACATGTCAGAGGACTTCACAGAAATGCCTCCTCGATTCCAATCAGCCAAACAACTCGGCAGCTTGGGAAGGAATGGATTGTGAACAAGGAAGCGTTTCGCCTCGCTACGTGAGTAACGATGCGTTATTGGCTTTACCATCACAATAACCGAAACTAATAAACACTTCAGATTGACATCCAATCTGCTGAGGATGTACAGATTGCCTTTCGGTTTGC